GAACATGGCCCACTCGGCCGCAGTAGCGTAGAGAGGGAGGGGGGCGGGGGGGGGGGGGACATATGTCCCCGGGCGCCGACCTTAGGGGGCGCCAAATGGGTTAGAAAAGTAAATAGAAAGGTTGAGGGGGTGCAAATCGAAAGTTTGAGGGGAGGGGGGGGGGGTGCAAATAAAAATCTCAAGGGGGGGGGGTGCAAATCGAAAGTTTGAGGGGGGGGGGGTGCAAATGGAAATCTCGAGGGGGGTCGGGGGTGCAAATCAAAAAGTTTGTCCCCGGGCGCCGGGAAGGGTCGCTACGCCTCTAGCACTCGGCTCTTGTGAAGGTGTTTTGTTGTACGTAATAGTAAGTGAATTCACACACGTATGAAGAATTGCCCACCCCCCCCCCCCCCCCCACACACACGCCCAACTCCTCTTAACCTTGGCTTATAAATGCCTGGGAGAGAAGAATTCCGATTTTCTTTCAGGCATATCTCCAGGGGTGGGGACATAGCCCTCTCCTCGAAACACGTCCTCCAACGGAAAGAGAAAATGTATGTGATCACTGTCCGCCCCCCCCCCCCCCCCTCAAGTTTCAAGTGCCTCTGACGGAGAAACACTGGAAGAAATTCCCTCAATGTGAATTAACACATAGGTGACAACCCCCCCCCCCTACCCATCTTTCTATTAGATATTATATACCTGTAAAATATTTCCGTAATGAACAGTTGTTTTCAATGTTTTAGTTAGGAAGGGATGTAAATAGATGTAACGGTCATGTATATACAAGCTGAGTTGTGGGTACGTAAATATTTTTTAGTTCAGCTAGTTTGTATGAGATTACCTACGGAAATGTATGTACAAATAGAAAAAGAGAGGGTATAATAAAAGTAAATAGATACGAAGCTATAGCAACAGCTAGTGGACCAGAAGCCTAGCAACATAACACGCAAACTTTTACAACATAATAGACAAGTCTAGCACCATAACACGCAAACTTTTACAATACAACATAATAGACAAGTCTAGCACCATAACACGCAAACTTTTACAATACAGCAAAGTAGACGAGAAGTCTAGCAACAAAACACGCAAATTTTTACAATACGGCAAAGTAAGTAAACCAAAAGACTAGCACCAAAAGACGCAGATTTTTACCATACAACATAGTAGACCAAAAGTCAAGCACCAAAAGACGCAAACATTTACGACCCCAAATTGCCTGGAAACCAAGATCAGTCACCAAAACAAAAGCCTGCAACTTGCCGCGGGTGTATTGTTCCGTACCAGAAATATGAGCCTAATTTTGCCTGGCGTCGTCGTTCACGCTCCACTGCCTCGCAAAGGCCCAGGTGTATTGTTCAAGTCCGCTACTGCTGATGGAATCAATAAGGAAATCTATGGAGTCCATCTTGTGGTGCCGGGGGTCTTTAGACTGGTACCGGATGTACTAACTAGGCTCAGCTCTAAACACTGTAATAAAATAGCGTCAAGGGCGCGAGGGGGGTGGGGGCGTTGTAGTTTAGGGAGGTATTTAGTTATTGTGAATGTAAAAGTGGGCGTGGCGGTGACACCATACCCCACTACACCCCGTGTTTATAAGGCGGTGATTAAGTAGCGTCAATGAGTTGAACAATTAGGGATGGTGGAGGTGGGGTGGATAGTTGCATGAATGTGAAATCAGGTTTATTATGGACTTTAATTATAGAGCGGGCTGTAGTAAAGACCTGATATAGCGTAGCTCGTGAAGGTGGGGGGGGGGGGGCGCATTGTTTCTTATGTATAGTAAATGTATGTCGACTCTTATGTTAATACGTATAAACTGTATATGTGTCAAGTGGATTCAGTATTTTTTTTGAGGGGGGGGGGGGGGGGGGAGAAAGGGGATCTTGAATTTTGTGACTAGTGGGTAGCAGACAAAAATTACTTGTCATCATTTATGAAGAACGCCATATCAGAAATCAGCCGTCTTATCAGTGTTGGTCCGCTGAACTAATGCATTATCAAACCAATTCAGCTATTTGTTGAGACACAAAAACTCCATATTAAAAACACATTGTACTCATGCGCTGTAGCTGGAGAAACTCATGTAAACAAACGTAAGTAGCTAGGATACACACACACACAATCTCTCTCTCTCTCTATATATATATTTATACATATACATGTTTGTGAAAAAATAACATGAACATAGATTTGTGGACTGCGTTATTTATTGGATAAAATATAAGCATTACGTTTTTAAAATCCATTTAAAATGACAAGTTTTTGTGTTAATTGAATTGAGAAAACACTGTGGCAGAGAGTAGAAAATAGTGAAACATACGACAGTCAGGATTTTAACTTGCAATTGTATCACCCCACCCCTCTCCTCCAATAACAATAGGGACAAATTAACATGGGACACAACTACTAAATAATTTTTTAAATTTTAATGTAGGTATCACCTCCCTTTGAAAACCAATTTCATACAACCTAAGCTTAAAACTAGTTATCTCCCATCTGATATTAAAAACATATTGTCTTACTGTACAAGTAACATGACTTGCAACACAAATGTGATGTCCATTTGAACAAGACAACTAGAAGGGGATCATTTTGTGTTTGTGTTAGTGAGGATATAGAGGGGTCATTACTCATGTGAGGTTTGGTCGTATGTGGTATATGTTAGAATATGTATGCGGATGTGGGGGAAGTGGGTGTCATAATTTGTTGGTTTTATGTGGTATATGTCAGAATATGCATGCAGGGGTCATTACTTGTGGGCTTTATGTGGTATATGTCAGAATATGTATGCAGGGGTCATTACTTGTGGGCTTTATGTGGTATTAGCGTATACAAAGGGGTCATATCTTGGTATTAGCATGTATATGGAGGGGTAAAAAATTACTGATGCATTTGTTGAGTTAGCAAACAACTGTCAAACACTTAAGGCAACAATTTGATCAAGGGAGGACAGTTACAGGGGAAGCAGAGTAAACAGCATGACAGGTTCCTTTTTTAAGAGTCAGAAATTAAATCCTAAGTTGAAACTAAGACATAAACTAAGGTTCTACATATACTCAAAGATATTCAGTATAGCCTTAAGTAAAGAGATGTTTGCTTGATAAAATACTCAACATATTCAACTACTTTTGTTACAAAATATATTTTTAGCTGTATGGGAAATCTTTTCATCTGAAGACCATAAAGTGATATTTAACTAAATAAGCTATTCTAATCATTGTGTAAAGCACTGGTAATAAATATGGACCAGTGTGAATAAATTGTGGTAAATGTCAAAGTGTGAGTAGTTCTTACTAAAGTTACAGAGAGTAAAGTAAATCTTGTGTACAAGTGGTTCTATTCTTGAGTGCTTTGTTATAAAAAATGGATATGTATCTATTTTCTTAAATTTGCACAATATAGACGTTAAAAATTAAAAGAAAATAGTTAAAAAAAAAGGTAAATGAAACAGAAAAGCATATTGAACTACAATCACACAGTTTGAGTTTGTACGTAGAGAGGTAATTTACAAGACTTTTCAGTCTTAACTAAAATAAACCAAAGATGGATTTTTTTAAACTTCAAAGTAAAAGATGCAGCATGAGTTTAGTTAAAGTGAAGCAGACACTAAGGTTAAGGACAAACCAAAAATAAAACTACATCTCACAGACAAACAATAATTATTACACTATTTTGTACATGTGATATTTACATGGTTTGGTGTACAACATATCCATTAATCATGTACACAGTTTATTTTATAGTTGAGTTATTTTTTTTATTATTATTATACACTAAGAGGATGGACCGAGCAAATAATTAAAACAATCTCTATACCAATTTCCAATTTAGCTAAAAAAAAACTAAAAAAAAAAAACCCTCAATCCTCCATAATCTTTTTTATCAAAGGATAATCCGATGTTCAGCGGTAACGAACGAGGCAACAAGCTTAGCACCAGAACACATCGGCACTATGACGCATCCCCCCTGCCGGTCACAATGTTCCTGTATATAATGCTGATGTACACAGCTATGAGCAGAAGGATGAAGATGTCATCTAAAAATCCTATAAGACCAAACGCAGCTTCAGGCAGAATGTCTAGGGGGGAGACTAAGTATATAAAGGCAGCAATAATTAAAATTACTATTCGAAATCTAAACATCCACATCAGGCCACCCACACTGAAAAACTCATGAAAGGCGTAGCGAAGCAATGTGGGTAGGTCTTGTAAGTATTCTTGAATCTAAAGGGAAACAAGAAAATATTGCTTTAAGTATCATTTTATTAAGTGTTTATTTTATAAAATGTATTCATTCTTAAGGTTTGGAACAAAATTATAAACAGGGCTATTCGTTAACAATTAACAATTTTGATTTAAAAATACTTAAGTTTTAAGATAATTATATTTGAGAATATAATTGTTCTTGCTTTAGCAGGAACTCAACATAGCAGTTATAAAAAGTAGTTGCATTGCTTAATTCCACAATCTAAGATAAAATATACCCCTTTTGGACAAGTATTAGTGAGTTCTTTACATGTTAGCTAAGGTGCCAGTGCCATTGAATTACAAAGTTAATGGTCAGTAATAACAAAAATAATGGACAGAGCTAACAGTGAATGAGGTAACAAATAAAATGAAATAAAACACTGACTGTATGCAGTTATATTAGAGCTGTAAATTTTAATTAAAAATTTCGTATTCATCAATATTCATATTTTTTACACCCACTTTATATCTAGTTACTTCCCTTATATTAAAAGTCTCTTGTCCATGAACTGGCTTTGCAAGATTGATAGAACATACATGTATTGAATTATGTGTTCATAAGTGATGGTTTATGTTGTGATTACAGTATTTTTACACATTTACATAGTTTGGTGCACTGTATATACTTCATTAATCCTATACGTAGATTATTTTAAAACATTGTTAATTTTAATTATATGCTACAAGTAATATGTAGAATTATGTGATCACATTTGATGCCTCATGTTGTGATGTCTTTGTAGTTAAAAGTTCCGTCAAACTGATTTTACAGCATAAAGGCTTAAAATGACCAACATGGGACATAACTCACAGATCTTGGCTCTCCAGAGTAACGCCTATTGTACTGGTTGACCTTTTCTATAACCCCACGCCTTTCCTCACTCTCTGTGGCGTGCTCTTGTGATGTAAAGTTTAGCAGCAGCAAATTAACCTAAATACAAGAAAGGCAATAAAACATAAGAGTAGACAATACAAGAAAGGCAATAAAACATAAGAGTAGACCAACTTAATTGTATGCTGCTTCCTTTGTTCTTAATTATAACTTTACAGAGGATTTCTCAAACATAACTAAGTATTATGAGTCAACATGTTATGTGCCATATGGCTTGTTGACTCAGACTTAAGGCTGCTGTTCATTCTGGATTTGCTTCCATAGCCTTTGTTCACACAAGAACAATCTGCAAGCAGCAATCGTCTTCTCCTAGATGAGCTGCTGTCCACAGCTAATAATCCTCATCTAACCGAGGTCCATACTCAGGACTTCTCTCTCTCTCTCTCTCATACGGAAACCGGCTCAGAAGTTTGACTTCCAATAGCCAGTCAGGCCTCAGTGTAGCAACCCCGACATGTGGTGGTAGTAGCAAATGTCGGTCAGATCGCTACATGTCGGTCGCTTCTCCGTCGGCTCCCACAGGGCTTTCCTTCCCCCCCCCACACCAGACATGGGACAGCGCCCCAGCGCCTGGTACCCAGCTTGATCGTAGGGGGCATTCCGCCAGATCAAAACCCTTTAGCTGCTGTTGGCTACCACAAGCCATTCCACACCCACTAGGGGGGTCATGAGTTCTGTCCGACTAATGGCACTCTTCCAAAGCCACCTGAAGGCCGCAGCTTAAAGTCAAAATATCTGGTTAGGGTCGAGAGCAGACCCCTTTTGGTTCCCGGCAGTCTTGCACCTCTCCTCCCCTACGCTATAATGTAGGGAACTTGGGAGTCCGACATGCCAGGCTCTTCGGAACTCAGGACTTCTAGATTTAGCAACTGAATGCTTTCCTAAATTGAATGCTTGATTTCTCTTTTGAATTAACCTTGCATCAAATTTCAGAAACTGACAATTGTGATTAAAATAAATTACAAAATAAAAATGTAATGAAATAAGACTGGGGAAAAGGAAATTTTTAGAATATATAAATAAATAAATAAATCTGACCAACTGACCTGTGTTCGGCATGACGGACACCTAACACCACCCAGCCAGGTTTGATGTTCCCAGTACATGACCATACAGTGTCCTGGATAAAAAAAATGTACAGAAAAAAATTAGAAAAATACAAATATTTTTACAAACTTTTATTTAACTTGCTTCCTCGTCATGTTTATATGTCTAGATCAGTGGTTCCCAACCTTTTTCGAGTGGCGACCCCCTTTTATAAAAAGTAAGTGACCCGCGACCCCCATAGAATTAAAAAGCCGAAATTAGTAAGGAAAGTAATAAGCACTAAAATAAGATTTTCTAGTAGACTTTCAATATGAACTACTCTTGATAACTGTTTTAATAGCATGAGTAAAAATGATTACTTTTCACTAAACCTTCGTGGTTAAGTTTTTAATTTTAAAAAATTTTTGTTAACGCCAACCTATGTCATTATAATTATCTTAATTTTGTTTTTAATCGAAGAATAGTGTTGAAAATATATTTTCGAAAAGTCAATCAATTTTACGTTTGGGTATGAATGGTGAATACTACACCAAAATTGAGTGTGCAGTTTTTCATCTTACTCGGAATCATTCTGCAAATCAAAGAATTCATCTTGTAATTCATCGGGAATGCTGGCAACATCAAGGGAAGAAGAGAATGGGTGATGCGTAAATGCAGATTCTTTTTTTTCAGCTCAGAGAAATAGCGCTACAGTTCGTTTTCACTTGATTCAAGATGCCCAGAAATTTCTTCTTTCAAATTTTTAATTATCTCACAATCAGATTCATCTACCACACCGCAGAGTTTCTCAAATTTACAATATTTCCAAGATTTATTTTCATTACCGATTTTGCAGCTTTGATAAAAATGCACCGAGATTATCATGGAAAGTTATAATATTCGTTCATTTTCCCTGAATCTTCAGGTTAAGCTTATCTTGATGTTCGAACACATCTGCTAGGTATGATACTCTCTCCAACCACTCTATGTCGTTTTAAGTATTCCAAAATGTCTTGTTTCCTTTGCACTTCCATGAACATTTTGATTTCAGATTTCAATTCAAAAACACAATTTACAACATTTCGTTTGACAGCCAGCGTACTGTAGTGTAGAAGAGCAGAACCTCGTGATCTATATTAATGTTTTGGCTCAGTTCTTTGAAGGCTCCAGATTTTATATAATTTACGACTTATACTAGCAATGGACTCTTGATGTCGATTGGTTAGGGCAGTGGTTAGGGAGCTAAATCTTTTCTGTTTTATGAAAGCCCGATTTTGAGCTAAACATAGATGGCGCACCATCCGTACAAACCCCCAAAGCCGTTCTAACCCATTTTAATCATCCCGTTTAAAAAAAAACAACTTATTTATTTTCTCCATGCTATCATCACAAAATAGCTACTCTTCTTTGCTATCATCCGCATGAATATAGACACAGACCAGCAACTGCCAACACGAACTCACGTCTGTTGATTTATCAACATGAAAAGCAAACAATGGTGAAAGCTTAATTTCAATAAAAAAAATGTGTTATTTAACATTTACGTACATGCAGCGCTTGATGAGATTTTCTCCTATTGTTTTTTTTTTTTTTTTTTTGCTTGGCATTTTCTATCGCGACTTCCTGTTCGATCAAGTCTCTGGCGTTTGCAACTAGCTTCTTACCGACGAAAGAACTCCATATATTTTTTGTGTGTTCCGAATGACTCGTCTCAAATGACGTTTTAGTTTTGAAGATTTCATGGATGCGTGACTGAGAACAACTTTGTACAGTGCGCTTTGTTTCGTCTCTATTTCATGTTAATGAAGCCGAATTTCAAAAATTCTTCTAAATATTTATGTTTTGTTTCAAATTACTAAGGTTTAGTATACCAGTTGGCGACCCCCCAGAAAGACCTTCGCGACCCCCAGGGGGGTCGCGACCCCCAGGTTGGGAACCCGTGGTCTAGATCAAAACTGGCAAGCGAAATTTCAAACACTTCTAACCAACCAATTTCTTTGAAATTCAGCATGTGGGTCAAGACCTGATGATAATCCAATCTGACATCAAATTCGACTTAATTAGATGACTATTTGTTATGATGTTATGAATTAATTAAAATTTTCTGAAATTAGCAGGCTCTCCTACTACTATTCGCACATTATCTGATAATGTTCATTTGGTGCCAAATTGTTTTTAACCATGAAACTCTACAGTATTAAAAATTTTTAAGTACTGAAAAAATATATATAAAAACATTTTAATAACAAGCTTTTATGTAATAATGCATGAAAAAGGAGAAAATAAATGAATTTCTTTAAATATATAATAATACACTACTATTCAAATAACTACAAATACAAGTGTGGGTCTCTTCCTAAATATTAATAAAGGTATCCAATAAATAATAGTGACTAAAGCTTTTCTTTATAGTTGTTTAAATAGTAGTGTATTATTATATATTTTCTCCTTTTTAGTGCATTATTAGATAAAAGCATGTTATTAAAACGTTTTTTATGCATTTTCTTTCATTTGGTCAACAAATTTGAACAATATTTTTTTTAAATTAATTACTTTAAAAAAAAATCATGATTTTCATTTTTAGTAACAAAATTACTGCTAGTTTACCACTAGTTAGAATAAACATAAAAATTATTTAGAATTTTTTTTACAGAGAATAAAAGAATTAATATTCTTTTTGGACTGTTATAAAAATTATTCATAATTTAGAGAGGAACAAAATTAAACTAGTGAAGCTAGTTAGAGCAAGTTTATCATTACCACAATAGACATGACCACAGCTAGTCATAAAACTACAGCAGCAAATTTATCATTACCACAATAGACATGACCACACTTGGTCCTATAACACAAGTTTATCATTACCACAATAGACATGACCACAGTTGGTTTCAACAGCAAAGACGGCAGACCCCAAACAGATGGGACACGTGAGCTCTCCATTGTTACGCTGGTTGGCCCTCCTCTGGCTCTGACCAGTCGCTGGACGGTCAAGTTCTTCATGCTGCAGCTGTTCCCTGGTTGAGGCTATGTCTGTGGCACTGTCAGGGTGGATTCTGGAACCAAGTCTTTGCCTGGAAGATTTAAATACATTTCACATAACTGTGTGCCTATAGACTGGGGTTAGAAAAAGATAAAACTCAACCTAGAGTACATGAACTATATGGCGACTGTAAATGACAAATATAAACTGTTTTTATAAACTGCATACATTTCAGAATTAACTTATCAGTGTTTTATCATTTTGTGATCATGAGGAAAATTGTCCCTATGCACCTAGTAATTAAATAAAGCCTACTTTTTAAACTATTTTTAACACAACACCAGAAAAATATTATTATTAGGCATTTTGTTACATTTATTATTTGTTATCAGGCTAAGTATTAGTATGTTGTATAGACATAAAGCGGAAATAACCTCTGACCCAAACACGGATGATTAGTTTTTCATCTCAGTTTCATATCAGGCACTTATTGTTTTTTAAAAATTAAGACATACAGATTTTTGACTAAAGTTTCTTCACTGACACTGAAGAGCCTGTTAAAAAAAAAGCTAAATAATTTTCTTGAAGTTTGATATAATAGCAGTATAATTTCTATAACTCTCAAGCATTAGAAGAGTTTTTAAAAATTTCACTCCCAAATCGGCATTAATTAGTATCAACACAGAAATATAATTTTTAGCCTGCCAACAATCTTTAGACTAATTTTAGTCTTCATTATTTTATATATTTTACTAATTGAAATAAGAATCAACTGATGCTATATTATTTATGCAAATAAGCCTATTGGGCCTACATTTTTTACAATGACAGACAGTTTATTTCCTGCTTAAGAAATAATTATTAAAGGGCATAGGTTATAATAATAAAAGAAAACATTCAGATAAAAAGAAGAGCAGAAACTGTAACAAAAGACAAGCTTGCATTGATTAATTATTATTTATTTAGGTCTACTTGCAGGGGCGTAGGCAGAGGGGGGGTTATAACCCCCCCCCCCCCCCCATAGACCCCTCGGTATATATATATATAAAAAGTATGAGGGGGGTGCAAACCGAAAGTTTGAGGGGGGTGGGGGGTGCAAATCGAAAGTTTGTCCCCGGGTAAAAATTGGACCCCCCCCCTTGAGACGATCCTGGCTACGCCACTGCCTACTTGTATTACAATACTGATAATACTGATGTAAAGCTCGAAGTGGGTCAAAGTTAAATTTACTTTTAATTAAATTTTAAAACTAAGTAAGGCAAACTCTGTAAGTTGTGAAGTAAGTACACTAAGAAGTAAGTAGGCCTACCTACAGTAAACCCAGTTTAGATAGATCTAGATCTCTAGATAGAGTCCAGTCTAGTCTAGTGACTAGTCACTGGTGAAATAAATTAGAACTAGAATCTACATCTTCTCAAGATTTAATAGTACTTTAGTTAGTCAATAGAACTAAAAATAGTAGGGCCTACTTAAAAATTAAAAAGCCTTGGCCTTGACAAGAGTAGCTGTATCTAAATCTTGGCTTAACTTTTACTCAATTTTACAGTTTTGATTTTAGACTTGTTCAAAATGTTAGGATAATTTTATTAATGTTTTACTAATTTATAACTTTTTAACACATCTAGATCTAATTAGTAATTAGGCCTAGAGCAAATTACATTGTCCGAACACTACGTGGGACCGAACACTTCGTCGGTTTTTGGCTCATAGAAACTTTAATTAGCATGTCTCATGCGAAACCACGGCGCCTGCACGTAAACTGTTCATTTATGAACACTTCCGTGTCAAGTACTTCCGTTTCCTCTCTCAAGAATTATTTTTAGAAAATTTTTAACGTTGCATGGTACGCACATTTCTATTTTTACACCAGCCGGATGAAGTGACCTAGGGTTGGACTTAGGGGCAAAACTTGAACCAATCAACGCTTAGCTAAAAGGTTACACTATAAATAGCTTCTATATATGTATGGAACATCGTAAATGTCAAGGTTAATGGGTTATTTTGTGCTTGAACAATAAAAAAGGGGTGTTCGCTAACTTTTTTGACCTTACATGGGACCGGACAGCAACACAAAAATATTATTAAATAAGAATTTAGAGCATAAAAGGGGCTGGTTATTGAAGGGAAAGGGTTAAAATAAGGTCAAGAAGGCAGTGGAATGCGAAAGAGGAGGGGGAATCATGTGACCTGGCTGGCTTAGCAGCGTACTGCGCGAGCCGCAATGGCTGAATGGGATGAACTTTGGGAGTGTGGGAAAAAGGTTTTATACTATTAAAATTACCTCACAAACAATCAATAACACAATATAAATGCATATAATATATGTTTTTATTCATTAAATTGACTTTAAATTATTCTAAATGAACAAAAAGTGCTTTGTTCGATGACGGGTAAAGGTGTCCGAACACATTTGAAATTGTATTACATGTGTCCGAACACACGTTAAGACCCCCCAGTCACTATAACAAGAATAGCTAAAGTTCTATGCGTATGAATACAAAATGACACACACATTATTAAAGTAGAATGATTGCGGATAGATATGATACTTTTTTTTCCTTCCTATGTTAAGCGGTTACTGAATGAGACCGCATGGAAGTTTTAAGTTGCGTTTTTTCGCGGTGTGTGTCCGGACAGTGTAATTTGCTCTAGTATTTAGTATACTACACTGTAGTCTACAGTGCAGTGTAGTTGAGTGTAGGGCCTACTTATTTATTATATTTAATAAACACTGAAATAAAATCAAACAAGTGCCTGCTAGTAGTGCTACCCAGGCTTACTTGCGGAATGCATGGTTCAGTCAGTTGTCACCATTTGAGTAGTAGATCTAGATCTAGATTAAAGAAACTAGACTCAGTCGTCAGTACGGTGTTGAGTAGTAAAGTAGTAATTATTAATTATTAATTAATTCATTGAATTTGAGTAAGATTTAAAAAAAATTAAATAATAAATAAGCAAATTTTTGTTACCGATGGTTGACTAAGTTCACATAGGTCCACATTCCTAGTAAGGTTACTATGCATGCCCCACATCCAATAATAACTTCATTTCCTATGCCCTCTATAAAATTTTGACGGCGTACTTCTTGGGACATTTTTTGACAATATTGCTAAATTGTTACATTTCACTATGAGTTTCACCTATTGTTTGTGTTTTATTTCTTCTTATGTGCCGGAGTTTAACTTTGTTTTACATCCGGTTCAAACTGCGCTACGTAGCCTAGCCTTTATTTATGTAAATCAATCGCGGCTGTTACTAACTGTTAGTGTAGTTTATCACTAAAAAGTGGCACAGTCGTGAAGCCAATAGTGTAATCACATTTGGTTAGGCAAATGTTAGGTTTTTTCTTAAAACATTATTTACCAATTTAAAAAAAAACCCGCTCACAGTAGAGATTTTATTCGTAACATATCGATACATATTTTTCTTCTTCTAATCTTGAGCTTTTTAATAGGCCTAAATACTTTCTTCCTACTAAAAGTTATTTTATAAAGCCTGATATATAGGAAGCTAAATTTGAGTATTTAGGACTAATCATTATTTTCAATAAACTAAAACAGTGCAGCTACGTTTTACGGATTATTTGAAAAAAAAAAGTAAAAGTAAATTACTTTTTATGTGACTAAATGTCGGTTAAATATAAAACTAAACTCAATTATGAATCTATCTCATTATTTTGAAAATATAACTTTGTTTTGAACTTCTACAATTTTGCATTTGGGTCAAACATATTATTAATAATTAGGCTTGTTTGGTAGATTTATTTAAACAAAGGCCAGTAATAGAAAATTTGATGCAACATTTTGGAAAAGCAGCGATTACTGCCCTTTAGCCATTCACTTAATTTGCTCTTTATGGCAGTTTTTCTTTCACAACTTACACATTATATCGTATCGTTATTTTAAAATGAATTACACGGCATGAGTTAATGTTTACTTGAATTTACATGTTTTTTAGAAAAAAATAAGTATGTTGCTTTTTCGTTATAAATCAAAGTCCATCGTTTGTCATGAAACTCGGTACTGCTATGTTAAGTTGGTTAGGGTTTAAGTTTTATTGCTAGTTCTAGTGTTAACAAAGAGTTAGGAGCTTATGTCGATCTTCTTATAAAATAAAAATCTTTAACTTTGTGTATAAAATGTGTTACATAATATTGCGTCCCGGGGTGGGAGGGGGGGGGAAGGTTACAATTGCTAGACGTTTGCTTATGTTAACCGTTTTAGTAAAGTTCCATTACGTTTTGGGATAAAGTATACCTTTAAGAGTGTATCGAATAATTCAATTATATTGACCGAAAGGTTAGCCTATCGCCCCATCCGAGACATAGGCCGATGACAAGAACTTTCCAGGCGTCTCTGTCCTGGGCTAGTCTCTCCAACTGTCCCGAGGTGTACCCAATCTTCTTGGTATTTTCTTTCAGGTCACGTCTCTAGGTCATCCTTGGTCGGCCTCGTTTCCTTTTACATTTTGCCCTGTGGATTCCATGTCTTGTTATGCTGGACACATGCTTCTTGAGTGTGTGGCCAATCTATCTCAATTTTCTCTGGAGGATCTCTTCTTCAGTTGATCTGGCTGTTGCTATGGTACCTCTTCTTCTTCTTCTTCTGCGTTCTTAATTTTAGTGTTGAAAGAGATCCCCTCCAACACAATTAAGTATACGTGTCAACTGGATATGCGACATTGAGGCCATTGACTCCCGATTTCAGCCTGCTTTTCTTTTTGGATTTGCTTCCATAGCCTTTGGGCCTTTGTCCAACCAAGAACACACTACAAGGCAGCAGTTGTTTGATTTTGGAGTTGTCTCTCCTAGAGGAGTTGCTGTCCCCATCTGCAAGAAAACTGTCCCCAGTTTTTGTGCCTCATCTGCCTGGGGCTTCGAACTCGAGACTTTTTGGTTTAGCAAACTTAAGCTTTAGCCTTATGGTATCGATTTTTTATGGTTTTAGGCCAGCGTATTCAAAGGATCTTTCTGAGGCATGAGTTTATAAACGACTGTATTTTCTTCTTATTTGTGGTACATACTTTCCATGTCTCAGCTTTATAGAGCAAAACAAGTTTTACCAGCATGTTGAAGACCCGGATGTTTATTCCAAAAGTTAAATCTCCAGAACTCGAACCATTTTTTAGTTGGTTAAAGAAGGCTGTTCTGATCTTGCCCTGCCCAAAACAATTTAGCATGAACAATGAAGAGAGTAATTGAACGAAGTAAAGTTCCTCCGCCTTTTTCATTTCTTTATAGTTTAATTTTTTAAACTTAGCTTTGCCATTAGTGTGTTGACTATTTATATTGCCTCGCTGTTGCGTAGCTCAAGCTTATTACGATGGAATACTGGAGTTTTAAAGGTGTCTGAACGTACAAAATGTTAGATATCTATTAATTGCTTCTTTGTGATAATTTACATTGAGAAGACTTTTTTTTTACGATGCTGATGTTGTTTATCTGTTTGTTTCCAAAGTTTTGAACTGAATTTACCCTTCAAGTTATATTTTATTAGTGTGATTATTCATTCCTTTATGTTGAGAATGGTATGGTTGGGTGGAAGAGTGCATGGCTGCTTACTTGAATTTCCCGAGATCGATCCCTTAGTAGAAAATGCTTGTTCACTAGAGACAGCAGCCCATCTAGGACGAAAAAAAACTGAAATTTAACAGGAGTGAAAGTCTTAGGCAACAGGATTAACTAAACTAGTTTCATTTTGGCAGCTACTGCAAACACAGTTGGTACCACACGTAATGCTTAGCATTTCTTCGATTGTGCCAGCAAAGGCCTTAAGCGGGATCACGAACCGCGGAACAAATCAATCATTGAATATCAATTTAAAAGTTGTTAGGAAGGCTCCGTTGAAAGCTGCTCACTCAAATTGATAATTAATTTTTATTTGTAACAAAATCGATCTAATCGATAACTGCTGAAGCGGTGTAGCGTAAGGAGCTAGAAAAAATAATTTGCAAATATATTTTTGAGATATTAAAAGGAAAACATTGCTGACAGCTTCAGACATGTCTTTCTCCGGGGAGGGGGTGGGCACTCAAAACTTTCGGTGTATGTGTGCGGGGGGGAGGGGGGGGGGGGGCGCTCTTAAAATTTCCTGGGGGTATGGGACGGACGGACACTGGTTAAAGTATATATTCTTTATACATTTTATTTTTTCCACCCTCCCCCCCCCCCCGCCCACTCCTTCCAACTCCCTGCCATCTTGACAGGCAGAAAAACTGCCCCCCCCCCCTGTTGTTGCCTGACGCTTATCTAGGCTAAGAGAAGGCGATATAAAATCCATGCCATGCGTCAAAAAGAAGATAAGGTCATTTAATGATATAAAACTACACATGGAAATAAAGTTTTAGAGACTGCAACTTCGTTAATTGTATTTTTTTGTTTTAAACACGCAGTTGACTTTTTAGTCCGAAAAAAGGGGCGGCACTATTCTGGAAAAAAAAAACGTTTCTAATAAACATAAACATCACCAGACATGCACCAGACTAGAATCTACAAAGACAGAGGGAAGTGGGTGGGCCAGGATTGGAGAAAAAAAGTGAAACAGAAACAGCCTGAATGTCATGGACATCGCTTGTAATAATCGCTCAACACACAAATCGATGTTTAGGTCCATGAATGATGCTGATGATGATGTAACGATGTACTAAATATGATTTTCTTCGGGAGCGCAGGCAGGCTAGACGGTCGTTCCCTGCTTCCCTGCTTACGCCTTTGACAACAATATATATATATATATATATATATATATATATATATATATATATATATATATATATATATATATATATATATATATATATATATATATATATATATATATATATATATGCACACACACACACACACACACACACACATATATATATATATATATATATATATATATATATATATATATATATATATATATATATATATATATATATATATATATATATATATATATATATATATATGCACAAACATGTATATACAATTTACGAGTAGATCGTATTCCAAAATCCGGTCTTCCCGGTTAAATTTTCAACCTAAAAACACCCGGTACCGATCAAGGGCCATTACTGTATTAATTAGACACCTTCTTTGAGCGTTATCCCTACAGTTTGGCACGGGATTTCTATTCGCGCACGGTTAGAAAAGGGGAGATCACTAGCCTTGACTCTCGTGCCACTTACCTCCTCTTGTCTCCGCACTTGCGTCTGAGTGGTGCTCAGGAAAACTGAACGGTATCGTACTCGCCCAGTGACACGATTACTGTATGACCTGCAGTAGGTATCGTTCTCATCCGGAACAGCTGGCCACAGGTATCGTATTGACACATGAGTACTGTACTGCCTGATTCTTGTATCTTACTGACCCCTGTAGTCATAGACGATACATCGTCTGACACATGGGGAGCGGGGGAGGGCGGTGTATGCAAAGTTCTTCTAAAAGAATAAATAAATAGCACATAGACATAGACAATACAGTATAGATAGAGTGAATAAGGTATCTTCGATTAAACCGGCAGAGGCGTAGCAACCTATTCCGGTGCCCGGGGCGGATTATCAATTTTGCACCCCCTCCCTCACATTTCTGTAGGACTATATAGATATTCATGGGGGGGGGGGGCGGGGTGGGGCAGGCGATTTTCTGTCGATGCATGTACACCGTGACGTTGTGCAGAAAAATTATAATTGTGACGTATCAATGTGATATTGTGACGTAAAAAAATTAAACAAATGAACGTGGGAAAAAGTGACGCGTACGTTGACATTGTGGCGTGTGAATGTTACATCCTGACTTTATGACGTGTAACTGTGACACCGTGACGTGTAAATATGACATTGTGGCTTGTCAATGCGGTATTGTGACGTTTCACTGATATTATGACGTATAACTGTGACATTTATCCCGCTGTACCGAGTGCCCCTAACTCTTTATTTCATCCATCCATTAGCAAATTATTTATTTTTACTCCGAGCTAAAAAGTTGAAACAAAGTTTTCACGATATCGTGGGCGGAAATACGTCATGTCTGTACCAAAAACAGGCGTCCAAACGTCATCCAGTTGATCAAATCAAATCTGTTTTTATAACTAAAATTCAGAAGACCTAAAAATTGGACGAAACGTCTACAACATTTAAGGAAAAAAAATGCTTAAAGTAGAAATTTAGATGGATTCGTATT